GGTGTGTTATGGATTGAACTGTGTCCCCCAAAAATGTGTGTCAACTTGGCTAGGCCGTGATTCTAAGTACTGTGTGGTTATCCACCATTTTGTCATCTGATGTGATTATCTATGTGTTGTAAATCCTACCTCTATGATGTTAATGGAGAAAAGATTGAAGTTGTCAAGGATTTCATTTTACTAGGATCCACAGTCAACATCCATGGACGGGATAGTCAAGAAATCAAACGACGTGTTGCATTGGGCAAATCTGCTGCAAAAGACTTCTTTAAAGTGTTAACGAGCAAAGATGTCACTTTGACGACTAAGGTGTGCCTGACCCAAGCCATGGTATTTTCAATCACCTCATATGCATGCGAAAACTAGACAATGAATGAGAAGAAATGACACCTTTGAATTGTGGTGTTGTTGAAGAATACTGAATATACCATGGACTGCCAAAAGAACAAACAAATTTGTCTTGGAAGAAGTACAGCCACAGTGCTCCTTAGAAGCAAGGATGATGAGACTTCATCTAACATATTTTCACATGTTATCAGGAGGGACCAGTCCCTAGAGAAGGACATCATGCTTGGTAAAGTAGAGGGTCAGCAAAAAAGAGGAAGACCCTCAACAAGATGAACTGACACAGTGGCTGCAACAATGAGCTCAAGCATAACAATGATTGTGAGGATGGCGCAGGACCAGGCAGTGTTTCGTTCTGTTGTACACAGGTCGCTATGAGTCAGAACGGACTCCAAGGCACCTAACAACAACAACAATGATGTTAACAAGGCAGGATTAGCAGCAGTTATGTTAATGAGACAGGACTCAATCTACAAGATTAGGTTGTGTCTTAGGTCAATCTCTTTTGAGATATAAAGAGAGAAGCAAGCAGAGAGACATGGAGGACCTCATACCATCAAGAAAGCAATACCGGAAGCAGAGTGCGTCCTTTGGACCCGAGATTCCTGCGCTGAGAAGCTCCTAGACCAGGAGAAGACTGATGACAAGGGCCTTCCTCCAGACCTGACAGAAAGACAAAGCCTTCCCCTAGAGCTGGCACTCTGAATTCGGACTTCTAGCCTCCTAGACTGTGAGAGAATAAATTCCTCTTTGTTGAAGCCATCTACTTGTGGTATTTCTGTTACAGCAGCACTAGATGACTAAGACAGGGTGCATGCGTTTTCTTTCCTGTAACTGAGTCCCCAGACCTCCCAGGACCAGGTGGGAAACGTGTGGCTCTGCACAAGGCCTCCGATGCACAGTTGGGAGGGCAGCTCATGGGTGGGAGTCTGAAAGCCTAGGTGCCTGGAGTCACACCCACCCCCACCGCTTTCCAGCCATGTCCTTGGGCAAGTCACTCATCCTTTCTACCCCCAGGGCCATTTTTTGTTAAACAGGAATAAAGACATCCCTTAGAGGAATGTTTTGAGTATGGTGGTAGGCAGAATAAAGTCTCCACAAAGATGTCCACATCCTAATCCCCGGAATATGTATATTAGGTTACACGGCAAAGGGAATCAAGGTTACAGGTGGAGTTGACCTTGAGCTGGAGAGAGGATCCTGGATGATCCAGGTGGGATCAGTCTCATCACATGAGTCCTTCAGAGTGGAAGAAGAAGAGGTAAAAGGCGGGTCAGAGAGATGTGACATAAGGACTTGGCCCACTGTTGCTGGCTTTGAGATGGAGGAAGGGGGCATGAGTCAAGAAGGCATGTGGGCCGTCTCCAGAAGCTGGAAAAGGTGAGGAAAGGGATTCTCCTCTGGAGCATCCAGGAGGGGACACAGCCCTGCCGACAGCTTGATTTTAGCCCCATGAGAGCCATGTTGAACTTCTGACCACAGAAGTGTGAAACAATAAATTTGAGTTCTTTGAGCCACTGAGTTTGTAGAATTTGTTACAGCAGCAACAGAGAACTCATACAAGTATTAAATGAGCTGATCTCTAGAAAACTACCAGCCTGAAAATACTATTTGAAAGGAGGGGAAACCTCCAAAGATTCTGGAAGGAGGGACAGAGAGGGTGAGGGAGCAAATGGGCAGCAGACCTGACAGCTCTGTGAGGGAACGCCTTGGCAGACCCAAACTGGGGACAAGGTGGAGGGAAGGGCCAACCCTGGGGGAGCCCCGCATTGACCTCCTCCTTCCTCACCACCCTTGCCTGCCTCCTGGTCTGGTTCCATCTCCTGAAGGGGATGGGTCTGCACCCTCTGCTGCCCACCCCCTATGCCCATGTGGCCTGGCACTTTTGTGGAATTCTCGCCTCCCCTAGAGATGACAGTATCCAGGCAGTGGGGGCCCGGCAGATATTTGGTGGACTCTGCTCCTTGGCTAAACGTCTGTGACGAAAGCACTTGAGCAGACAGGGCTGCACGAGCTACCCAGGGCACAGACGACGTCCTCCCACCTTGCTGCCTCCAGTGGGCCCTCCGAAACAGCTCTCAATTACATGCTAATCTGCTGTTCCCTAACTCGTTCATTTATGAATTCATTTATCAGTTTATCAGCACCTTCCTTATATGGATTATATTTCTCCTCAGGTATGAGAGGCATTGGCTGAGAGGGGGTTGAGGGCAGCGGATAAAAGGGTGGGCTTTGGGGTCACCATCTCAGTTCTGATCCGGGCTCTGCAACTTACCAGGTATGAGATGCTGGGCAAGATGCTCAGCCTCAGTTTCCTCATTGCAAATGGGGATAATTACAGTACCTTCTTTACAGGATGGTGGCACTACATGTCGAGTGCTCAGAGCAGGGCCTGGCACAGAGTGGGTGCTCCATCAGTCACAGGTCCAGTGCGTGAGTGTCCTCTAGGGAAACCTCCAGGCCCCTTCCCTACGCTCCCAGATGCCTCCAATCTAGCCACGTGCGGGCAACACCCCTGCACTGCTTGTGGCTGCACTGGTCTCCCTCCCTGGCCTGGCACAACAGCTGCCACAGAGCAGAGTTTGCACAAGGAACAGCCTCAATGACTCCTTGAAGGCTCCGGGAGATCACGAGCAGTGCGCGGGACTTAGTGGGTGTGCCCTACACTCCTTAAGGTCCCAGCTGTTTACTCAAGATGTTACACTAGTTCATCCAATATAGTGTGCAGTGGCACGCTTCAACCCCTGGAGGTGGTTTCCTGAACACCGGGAAGGAGTTAGCAGAGTACAGTGCAGGGAGACCTGAGGCAGGAGACAAGGACACCGTTAGCCCTCGCGCCTATGGAACAAAGGCAACACACCCAGATCATGACGGTAGCTTAAACGTCTTAAACTAGTATCTACAGCACTGTCATTAATGCTCATTTGCCATCTACTGGTACCTAGAAACATTCCAGTGTCCTCCTCCCTGCCAGACTCACAGAGGCTCTCATAAGCAGTTCTGACAGCAGATGCACAGGCAACCTCTGTCTGGTCCCCGGGACGCAGGTTCAGTTCAGCCTGTCTGAATTTAGGGCTGGGGTCTGTTGACCTGCACCATATGGCTCTGGCCTCGCCTCCCTGACACCCCCAGGCCCAGGGACCATGCCCTGTACCCAGCTCCCCAGGCCTTCACCCCAGGGCCTCCTTCATTCCTCTCCACCGTCACTGCAGAAACCTGTCCTCCTGTTCCACAGCCCATCAAGCCTCAGTCTTCTACTCCGTACCCCAGTGCCCTGTTTCCACCTCTGAATGTGCCATTTGGTGCTGACACCTTGTAGTCAATGGAAGGGAATCCCCAAGGGAAACCACGAGGCCTGCGTTTTGCACGTGGGGCGTAAGTTGGGGATGGTGCTCCCACACTTGGACCCCAGTCTGTCCTCCTGGACTTCCTGGTGTGGACTAAGCAAAGGTGAACTGGCTTCGGCCCCCAGGCCGGGTTCTGCTCATGGTTTGAGCCTGAGCTGCCCACCCCAGGCACACGGCTGAGGGCAGGTCGTCTTATAGGAGCAGTCTGTGGGGCGCCCCTGCCCTGAGACAGCACGCTCACTGTTCACAGCCACCGCCGCCCGAGGGAGGTCTGAAGTAGGACGCACACTGACAGGACATGGTGGCTAACTGCCAGAGCCCCTGGCACTCACGATTCCCACCCACACTGGCAGCTTCTTTCTTCAAGTGCTTGCAGCTCTACCTGAGGGTCCTCTCAGGCTGCGGGCACCTGCTCCGTGTATGAGGCAAGCCAGAAAGGCCAGGGTGAGCTCCCCAGTGAGCAGGCTCCATGAACGGCTGCTGGAGGTGGTGGGTCAATGCCCAGCTTCCTCCCTCCTGGGTGAGACAACAAGGCGTGTTCTCACCCTTTTCCAGAAGCCCCACTGGAACAGCGGCAATGGCGTACCCTGAATGTCCTTCCTCCCTTCCCGGGGCTTTCTGGGATGACCTCCCACACAGACCACTTCTACCCAGATCCTTCTTTCAGGCTCTGCTTCTGGGGAGCCCACGCTAATACCCTACCGAATTGCAGAACTGCCCCTCTGTGGACAGGTGGCTCAGTGGCAGGACACTCTCACTGAGTTCAAACACAATCACATTTTAAAACTGCAACTTCAAAAAACTGTTTTGTAACCATGAGAATGATAGCAGTTCCTCGGGTCCAGCTATTTCCTCTTACCTACCGCATCCCAGATCTCTGGTTTTGAATTCACCAGCCTCATTTTAACATTCTGAGTGAGTCTGTGCTAACATTTCTCTCTGGCCTCATCTGCACACGATCCAGGTGCTGCATTAGAGCTTCACCCTAAGACGTCCTGCTGACTTGATTCTTCCCTCGTATTCATCAGGAATTTAAAATACACATTTTCTTCTCACATTAAGAGCTGGAGATTCTGAGGGGCTAATTGTCCACAGAATTGCTAGATTTTCTAGTTTCCCCCACACTTGCAGTATCCTGTAGATTTGGTGCAAATTTCTGAGTTGTGCATGGAGACAGTGGTGATGGTTCCCGGGGAGGGAGTGCCCCGGAAGGAGGCCTGCCTCCCCCCACACCAGGGAGGATGGCCCCTCACCTGCCCCCAGCCTCTGCAACCCGCCCAGCACAGAGCAGAAGGCGCTCAGGCCTACCTGGGCAGATCTCAAAGAGGTGCTTCCCCGGGACCTCAGGGTTAGGAAGAAGTTCGGTCACCTGGGTCCCTTGTAGTGAGATAAATCCCTGAAAGAGAAAAACACAAACACAGGGAGCATGAGATGACTGGGAAGGGGGCTTTCTGACTCCAGGAGGGTGGAGGGTGGGGGCTGTGGGATCAGGGTCCAAAGGGCAGGCTGGGCGCCAGGGGAGAGCACAGGGCTCCTCTCCAGGCAGAGGACCTGGGGTGAGACCAGGCCCCCGCAGCACTTCCTGGTAGAGGCAGCGGGGCACTGTTGTGCACACACAGTTTCCTGGAGGAGGCTGCGGGGCACTGTTGTGCACACACAGTTGGCTTCCTGGAGGAAGAGGCGGGGCACTGTTGTGCACACACAGTTGGCTTCCTGGAGGAAGAGGCGGGGCACTGTTGTGCACACACAGTTGGTTTCCTGGAGGAGGAGGCGGGGCACTGTTGTGCACACACAGTTGGTTTCCTGGAGGAGGCTGCGGGGCATTGTTGTGCACACAGCTGAGGAGCTCTGCCCGGAGACATGGTGCTGGCCTGCCTGAGCCGTCACTCCCCAGGTAAGGCATGGGAATGCAAGTCTGGGGCACAAGGAGGGCTAGATCCAGTAGGCCCGTTCCAATCACCAGGCAGCCAGGAATATTAGGCTGTAGGGGACCAGGGAGGGGACATCTGGCATCCTAGGCTGGGCTTCTCCTACTGTCACTGTCCCTGGTGTGACGTGAAGGGAAGGACCAGCAGACCTGTTTCAGTCCAGTTCTGCCACCTTCTGGCTGGGTGAGACTGCTTCCTTGGAGGTACAGACAGGTAACGCACTTGGCTGCTAATCAAAAGTTTGGAGGTTTGAGTCTACCCAGCAGTGCTTTGAAAGAAAGGCCTGGTGATCTACTTCTAAAAATCAGCCACAGAAAACCCTATGGAGGAAAGTTCTACTCTGACACTCATGGGGCCGTCAGGAGTTGGGGCCGACTCCCCAGCAACTGTCTGGTTTTTAACTAATAAAATGGGGGCAAGTCACCACGCATAAGGTCCCCAACATAGCGCCATGCTCCTGGCACCTGAGCATGTCACAGAGGGCAGGCTCTACCTGCACTCTGATACTGCAGCCTGGCCAGGCTGAAAGATGCAGGCAGAAGTGTGGGGGGCAGTGCCAGCCAGGAAGGGTTGGAGTCCCAGTCCTGCACTTCCAGGCTGTGTAACCTCAGGCAAACCATTTAACTTCTCTGAACCTCAGTTTCCAGGTCTGTACAATGGGACAGTAACTTCCATTTCTCAGGGGTGTTGGAATGCCACATTCCTGCTCAGGAAGTCCTCTTGCTCTAGGGGACTAGATGCTGTCAAACCACCCTGACTCACCCTTTCCCACCCTCGGCTAGGGGTATGTACGTGCACCATGAGACTGCAAAGGAATGAGGGGCTACGTGCATCTGTGATCTAGCTGGACACATGAGACATTACGCAGTGCTGGGTAAGTGAAAGCTGTTATTATTGTTTGTTGAAAACCCGCTGCCATCAAGTCAATTCCAACTCATAGTAACCCTATAGGATAGAGTAGAATTGCCCCCATAAGGTTTCCAAGGAGCGGCTGGTGGTTTTGAACTGCTGATCCTTTGGTTAGCAGCTGAGCGCTTAACCATTGTGCCACCAGGGCTCCTATTTATTGCAAGCAAAAGGTAAATAATTACAACAGGTTCCCTAAAGAGGAAATGCTTACCCTTCCCCAAATTATACACGACTATTCTTCTGTTGCTGGGCAGGTGCAGAGGTTCAGGTCACATGCTGTGTTCACATCGCCGCTGTCTCCAGCGACCACCATGCTGCACGGAGGCCTGCATGGCTCCCAAGGTTTCTGCTCTGCCGCTGGGCCTCGCTGGGCTCTGCTGCTGCTCCCTCCATGCCTGCCACGCCTGCAGGGCTCTCCAATTGCTATGCTACCCAGGTCCCCACTGCCCAGGGGGGAGGCGTGCAACCCCTGCACAGGGCACACTCAGACCTCTGCCCTGCACGGGCAAGTGTGACAACTTTGTTAGCTCCACTGGCAGGCCTCTGGAGAAGCTCAGCTTTCACTCCGTGGGCTGACAGGCCCACTGCCACTGTCTCTCACTGTCTTGGGTTGTCTTCAGTGGTCGCTCTTTCTTCTGGGTCTAGGAGGTTCTCAGCACAGGAACCCCAGGTCCTTGGTTCAGTGGATGTGCTCTGCTCCAGACTCTTCCTCTTGATGGTAGTGAGGTCCCCCTAAACCTCTGTGGGATTAGCCCTTATGTAAGGAAACCCCTTATCAAATTCAAGGCATGGCCCTCCCACCAGGGCCATAAAATGACCAACCTCCTAGATGGACTGCAGGTCACTCAGTTTACATAGTCCCAGCCAATCATTTTGTAGGAGTTACAACACCACGGCTAGAAAGGCCATATAAAAGCGATTGAGTGCATCACACTAAGTTAGTGACTTTGATCTCTGCTGAGGCCTTTCTTCATTTCTGTTCATGCTCAGCTTTGCTCAACTCCAACTGTGTATGGCTGACTACACAATTTTGGTTCTCTCCATTGGAAACTCATTTTAAATGCCACCCCTGCAGCCGTACTGCCTGGGTTCAAATCCTGGCTCTGCAACTTACTGGCTGTGTGACCTCAGGTAAATTGATAAACCTCTCTGTGCCCCACTGTTCTTAGGTTAAATGGGAATAATAACAGTACTCTGTGGGACTGCCATGAGTGTTAAATGAGTTTTTTTTTAATTGTACTTTAGATGAAGGTTTACAGAATAGATTCTCATTAAACACTTAGTACACATATTGTTTTATGACAATGATTAACAAACCCACGACATGTCAACACTGTCCGTTCTCAAACTTGGGGTCCCCATTACCAGCTTTCCTGTCCCCTCCTGCCTTCTAGTCCTACTCCCTGGACTGCTGTGCCCCATTAGTCCCATTTGGTTTTATGGGGCTGTCTAATCTTTGGCTGAATGGCGAACCTCGGGAGTGACTTAATTGCTGAGCTAAAAGGGTGTCCAGGGGCCATACTCTCGGGGTTTCTCCAGTCTCTGTCAGGCCAGTAAGTATGGTCTTTTTTTGTGAGTTAGAATTTTGTTCAACATTTTTCTCCAGCTCTGTCCTGGACCCTCTGTTGTGATCCTGGTCAGAGCGGTCAGTGGTGGTAGCTGGTCACCATCTAGCTGTACTGCACTCAGTCTGGTGGAGGCCATGGTAGTTGTGGTCCATTAGTCCTTTGGACTAATCTTTTCCTTGTATCTTGTTTTCTTCATTCTCCCTTGCTCCTGAAGGGGTAAGACTAGTGGAGTATCTTCCCCATAGCCCTCCGCCCAGCACTTCGGTCCCTCAGGGAGTTTGGATGTGTCTATGGAGCTCCCATGACCTTTCCTTGTACAAGTTGTGTTGGCTTCTCTGGTATTGTGTACTGTCTCACCCTTCACTAGTTACCACTTATCTATTGTCTATTTAGTATTACCCCCACCCCTCCCATCCCTTGTAAACCACAAAGATTGTTTCTTTTTGTTGGGAACTTTTTCATGAGTTTTTACAGTAGAGGTCCTTTTGTGACTGACTTATTTCACTCAGCATAATGTCCTCCAGTTTTTACATAGTCCCAGCCAATCATTTTATGAGATGCTTCACAGATTCACCATTGTTCTTTATCGTTGCATAATATTCCATTGTGTATATGTAGCATAGTTTGTTTATCCATTCATCTGTTAATGGGCATCTAGGTTGTTTCCATCTTTTTGCTATTGTGAACAATGCTGCAATGAACATGGGTGTGCAAATGTCTATTCGTGTGATGGCTCTTATTTCTCTAGGATATATTCCTAGGAGTGGGGCTGCTGGGTCGTATGGTATTTCTCTTTCTAGCTTTCTAAGGAAGCACTATATTATTTTCCGAAATGGCTGTATCACTTTGCATTCCCACCAGCAGTGCAGCATAAGAGTTCCGATCTCCCTGCAGCCTCTCCAACATTTGTTATTTCCAGTGTTTTTGATTCATGCCAGTAATGCTGGGTGAGATGGTATCTCATTGTGGTTTTAATTTGCATTTCTCTAATGGCAAGTGATCGCAAACATTTCCTCATGTGTCTGTTGGCCACTTGAATGTCTTTAATGAAGTGTCTGTTCATTTCCTTTGCCCATTTTTAAATCAGACTGTTTTTTTGTTGTAGAGGTGTTGGATTTTCTTGTAAATTTTAGAGATTAGACCTTTGTCTGACTTGTAATGTCCAAAATTTTTATCCCAGTCTATAGGTTCTCTTTTTACTCTTTTGGTGAAGTCTTTTGATGAGCGTAAGTGTTTAATTTTTAGAAGATCCCAGTTATCTAGCTTATCTTCTGGAGTTTGTGTGTTGTTGGTTATGGTTTATATCATCTTAATTCCGTGTATTAGGGCCTCTAGCGTTGATCCTATTTTTCCTTCTGTGAAGTTTACATTTTTGGCTTTATATTTAGGTATTTGAACCATTTTAAATTAGTTTTTGTATATGGTGTGAGGTATGGGTCCTGTTTCATTTTTTTGCAGATGGACATCTGTTTTGCCAGCAGCATTGGTCAAAAAGACTGTCTTTTCCCCATTTGATGGACTTTGGGCCCTTGTCGAAGATCAGGTGATCGCAGATGGGTGGATTTACATCTGAGTTCTCAATTCTGTTCCATTGGTCAATGTATCTGTCATTTTACCAGTACCAGGCTGTTTTGACTACCGCAGCTGTATAGGAGGTTCTGAGGTCAGGTAATGCGAGTCCTCCTACTTTATTCTTCTTCTTCAATAGTGCTTTACTTATCCGGGGCTTCTTCTCTTTCCAAATAAAGTTAATGATTAGTTCTTCCATCGCTTTAAAGAATGTTGTTGGTATCCGGATCGGGAATCCATTCTATTTGTAAATTGCTTTGGGTGGAATTGTCATTTTCACAATGGTGAGTCTACCTATCCATGAGCATGGTATGATTTTCCATTTATGTAGATCCCTTTGGGTTTCTTGCAGTAGGGTTTTGTAGTTTTCTTTGTATAGGTCTTTTACATCCCTGGTTAGATTTATTCCTGAGTATTTTAGT